CAGGGTTCCGCCCGGCCCGTTAACGCGATCTTGAGGGTATGGGTATTACGACGATCGACCTGGCGTTTCCGCATATATGTGTTGGCCGCACATACATTTTGCAAGGCATATATGGTTATAGATGATTATTCGTTGTGGTGAGCTTACGTACTCCTTGGGAATGTTGTTTTTTTCAGTGATGTTTATGATACTCATATTTTTCTTCCATTGTATTTATTGCGTTATTATTTGTATTTCAAGTGTCTTGTTGTGGGTTATAGCAAGGTAAACGTGTATTTATAATTTTTTCTCTACGAGTACAATTAAAGACAATAGAAACAGATTTAGCCATCATGTGGCTTGGCAAAATTCAAGTCAAGCAATGATGGATCTATCTCAGAGTGAGCTTAAACAGAATGGGCGATGAATTATCCAAAGGATGTGTATATCCATCCGATGCGTTGATATACGAAGTGGTCATATGGAATTTTTCTTGTCTCACAAACTGATACTATTTGGGATATGAGTGTATGTTGCTATAGTATGAGCGTAATAGTAAGGAGTTATGAGCAAATTCTTGAAAAACAAAGAGGTAAATGTTGGAATTGTCTTTAATCAGCCAGGATGAGAAGAACAGGAATAGTTGATTTGTGATGAAAACATACTGTGTAGTGTTGGCCGCAGCTGGCTTGGTGGGGTGTAGTGTGTGTGTGTGGTCGTAGTGATAGTGTGTGTAATGCCGCGTAGTAAGTATGATGTGTTGTAGTGTATGTCGTGTGTGGTATGTAGAATAGTACAGTGTGCGATGTGGTGTGTACGCGAATAGGGAAATGGCGAATTTAAGAATTAAGGGGTGCTATTTACGCGCCATTCGCGCAGGACGCTAAAAGTCAACTGGCTTACTACGAAGCCCATCTGTCCTTGGAGTAAAGTAACGGTAATGTAAACACGTGTCGGTCCTTGCAAATGTCCTACAAATGAGTCAGTTCGGGCGCTGGTTTGGACTCCGCAATGTCGCGACGCTCGTATGCCATAATGGGATTGTCTGGCGCAACGCGTTTCGATGTTGTACTGGATGCATGCGAGACTCGAGAACACGGTTCGAACCGAGTCGTTGTTATGCCATGTGGCAGCGGGTGTGCGCTCGTGCGCCACGCTCCCCCGACTGATTTCTTTTGTTTAGCTAAAAATCGTATAAATGGAGGTTCTTTGTTGGAAAATCGCGCCGGAAACCCGAGAGTCGTCGCGGCAGTCACCGCGACATGCGTGCTCTCCTGTGCGCACGCATGTGGGTGAGAAACAATACATACTATCCTTTGCAAAAACATAACTGCTCTGCGGACCTTTGGAGTCTCTTCCCTTACTTCATCGCTACAACAACAACTCTACTCCTTGACACAGTAACGTCACTCATCCTTTCGTCTACCAACATCTTTGCCTTTTTACGAAGACCCTGAGCTATACCTGCATTATTCTTGCACCGGTCTTTGGTATCCGGGAATGATTTACCACACCGTTTTTTCGCTCCATACGGCGCCACCTTGTACTTCGTACACTGTATTCTGTTCACACCACCCTCGCTCCCGTCCCCTTTACACTGCTATTCGTACACTGATACTTGTACAAGTGTATTTGTACACTGTACGTGTACACTGTACGTGTACACTGTACGTGTACACTGTACGTGTACACTGTACTTGTACACTGTACTTGTACACTGTACTTGTACACTGTACGCGTGTACACTGTACGTGTACACTGTACGTGTACACTGTACGCGTGTCACTGTCACGCGGTACACGTGTACACTTGTTACAATGTACTTGATTTACACTGTACTTCGACAAGAAACGCTCTCTAGCAACTGGTCTCCTGTACACAGCCCACGCATAGGTCCCTAACTGGTTCTACTACTGTAGGTCCTAACAACAACAAAACAAACAACAACAACAACAACAACAACAACAACAAACAACAACACCAACAGCGATGTCAATTGAAACTTACGCCGGCCGACAGCGGACCGACGCGCCTTTTTATTACCGCAAATTGCGCGCCCCCTGGTGGCGCCCCTTCCGCGACTCAGCGCCACCTGGTATCGGCAGCAGTCGTCCCGTCGACATTTTTGCATCTCGGCGGTGACTAGACGTTGCGTTGCCATGGCGACCCATCGCCGGATGAGGGGTAGCCGATGCTGGTAAGGCGTTGATGGATTGTTGTTATCACGCTATACAGGAGAGAATTTTTCACAGAGGGTCGGCAGCGCGGGCAGGGAGACGTGGGTACGAGAGGTGCGCATGCGTAGCACGGAGCCAGTACTGTCCTAGCGACCGGGACGGGATCGTCATCGTCGTCATCATCGTCATTACCGCCATCAGTGCATCGTCGTTCGTCATCATCGTTCATTGCCGCCATCAGTCATCGTCAGTTACGTCTCACTCGTCATATGCGCCATCGCTCATCGTCTTCTCCCATCATTCGTCATCTACCGCCAATCGTCCATCGTGGTCGGTCCATCATCGTAATTGCCGCCATCCTCATCGTCGTCGGTCATCATTCGTCATTTACCGCATCGTCATCGGTCGGTGGTCATCATCGTCTAATTACCGCCATCGTCAC